GGTCAGGTCAGCAGTGGCAGGTCAGGTCAGCAGTGGCAGGTCAGGTCAGCAGTGGCAGGTCAGGTCAGCAGTGGCAGGTCAGGTCAGCAATGAACCTTTGGAAACTCTGCTCTAAAATGTCTCCTACAAAGACGGAGTGGCGGGGTAGCTTCTAAAAACTGTCAACCAAAACGCTGGAAGTTTCGAAACTCTTGAGCCTTCTTCGATTGAAGAAGACCACCTCCCGACCCAACTCATCCACCGGGTCTTCCTCCGCACCGGGACGGAGGCTCACCGTTCGGGACCCTGCGTTGCGAGGCTCAGGAACAACAGCATGTCCAGCAAATGGAGGCCGTGTTTGTTTGCGCATCGGGCGATGTTGTGTTTTCCCAGATGAATTTCTGAATCCACTTCTCAACATGTTTATGTTGAGGAAGTTTTTAGCTTGCACTGGGTGTTTTCTTTGCTAAGCATTAAGCATGAACCGATTCCTACCAGGACCCTCCTGTCGGGGTGTCGATTTATAGCCCCTTAGCTGTGATTCGGGGTGTCCGATGTCCATTCACCACCGAGACTCAAATGGTCCTGATATAATTAGGTCAATCATGGTCAATCCATTTTCCATGGTGTGGTGCAAGGCTTGGGTTCAGAACGTATCACACCACTGGTGATGTGGAACATATTTATCTTTCAATTGGAGGCTGACTGAAGTATCTCACAGATACAGATCCCCAAAACAAGAACGGCCCTGGGACACGCAACAAAAGAACAAGGACAAAAGGATCCAAAAGGTGTCCTATACTTTGACCCTCAAGGCCATGGGACAAAAAATCCAATCAGCCATGGGGTTTTCGCAGATTTGGGGGATCCGCTGGAATGCTGGAACTGGAATCCCCCACAGCGATGCAGCCGCGATCGACCTCGATCCCCTCGACTTTCGACGGGACGCGATCTTCGGAGGTTCACATTGGTCGACCACATGGGACCTCATCAGTGGTGTTCTTTGTACCCCAGGGCTCCAACCACATCCTCGGAAGGTGGTTGGGGTGGGTGCCAGGGCTGGCAGGGGGTTCTAACTACAGTACCATTTTCTGAGGATGTGGTTGGAGCCCTAGAAATAGATAATTCAGGCCGGGGTGGGACCGGAGGTGTTTTTCTTTGGCACCGGGGCCGGACTTGACATCGGAAGGTCGGAAGGTCCAATGGTCTGCTTACACACACGAAGCAGTGTGCTTCGTGTATGCTCTTTTTCACCCCCTTACGACACAGGAGATGGAGCGCAAATGGCAGCGAAGCTTCGACAAGAAGTGTCAGGCTGGGCTCGGCCGTGTGCGTTCGGCGAACAAGAGGAATCGGTTTGGTGAGTTTGGTAGGGGTGCTGTCAAGGGGTCAGGAGCATGGCATCACTTGTTGGTCGCCATACTGACCGTACTGGCTTCCTGTGACCTCAAAAGGCACAGTTCTCCTGTGTTTGAAGGAACTGGACTTGGCGACGCAACCGGTCACGACGCAAACTGGACATTCCGACAGACTGTGGACGGTCCGACTCCAAGTAGCGAACGAGTATCAATTCCCTACACCTCCAAGTACCTCATCAGAAGGTATTTGGACCCTCCAAACCCACCCCAAACACCTTCTCAGAAGGTACTTGGATGTGTAGGGATTGATGTACTGGATACTTGGTTCTTCCGTTCGTAACCGAACTTGATCCCCCCAGTTGGTGCGGTCCCTTGCTTGGTTAGTTCGGTCCCTTGGTTGGTGCGGTCCCTTGCTTGACCTGGTCATGAAGCGACTACTTAGGGGACGGAACAAAACGGTGACTTACAAGAAGCTGGTCGGAAAGAGCCCTGTGTGATACTCTGGTCTCCTGGGGCTCCAAACTCGTACCAAACGATCAAACCCTTGTCCCTCCAAACCCATCCCAGTCCTACCTTCTCTAGAAAGGAACCTGTTTGATCCTGTTGGCTTTTTAAGGTGTCATATTCCATGTTTGGTCTTAGCTAGAGCATGAGTCGTAGATCAGACTTTTGGTTGTCGAAGTTGGTCGAAGTCTGCTTTTTTGCATGCAGGTGTTGTTGGACTCCATCAAGGACGCTTCACAGGAGAACCAGCGTGCTTGTTGGAAAAGCGTGCGTTTGTTCGTTTGTTTGTTATGTTTGTTTGTTTGTTTTAAGATTATGTGTGAGATCGGATCGTAATCGCTGAACGAGGCGCAGAACCCCCCTGATGGAGGGGATGTTCTCAGCTGTGTGGTGTGGAAACCATCAATGCTCCTATCGTCGACTCCACACCTATCGGAACATGTGAGCGAGTGATGTTCTTGCCACTGGTCAGTGGTCTACAAAACAATCCTTGCAAGGCCCAATTAGGAAGAAACACATTCTACAATAACCCCGACTGCCCCAGCCGGTGAGCAGTTTTGTGTCAAACGCTGAATGCGCTTGTGTTATCATGTCATCTTCCTTCACGCTCTTGAGGGTTCCATCTGTGCATTGAGTTGATTCTATACCCGAAGCCTTTCAAACAAGTGGAGGACACATGGGCACGACGTCATAGAATCTTTCAGTGCGTGTCCCAGCATCTTGTTTTGGGTGGCAACTGGAGACTCTCCCGTTTTCCCCGCACTGGTCAGAAAAAAAAGACGGAACTTACCCTGCAAGTCCAAAGACCCAGTAAAACCTGGTCTTTAACATCCTTAAATATGGTTTTTGTATGACCAACTCAAGTGAAATGAGGTCTTTGACTTGTAGGGTTAAGTCCCGTACGACATCTACTTCTACCGACTCTACGGAGACCCGCCTGCTGCCCTCTTCCAGGTCTGGGAGGAGGTGAAGTTGGATGGAGAGGTCCCGAAGGCATCTGGGATCACCTGGCCTAGAAATGATGGACGAGGGCAACTCCTTAGCTCAAGACTCAAGATTTGGTGTTGTTTCGTTGGTGCAACAAAAACCAATATTGTTCATGAAAAAACGGCTACATGGTTGGTTCATGTTGGGCTCTTTTTTTCACAATCCATTCTCTGATGTCCGGTGGTTTTGTGACTTCTCTGAAGTATCCCTTTAGAGACCTTTAAGTAGCTTCTGGGTGCCGAACCTCGGATAGCCCCGGAAAAAAGCCGTGGTTGGCTACGCAGTTCGCGAGGATCACTCTGATGGAGGATGCCGATTTGCGGATTGGGTGATCTGTGATTTTACATTCATTGATGAATCCCCTTCTCAAGAATCTTTTTTTTTTCATCCAGGAGCCGCAAATCCCAGATCCGAAGCTGTCAGCTGTGTGGGGTTGACATATTACCGTCGCCCGTTCTCGGACTTCGGTGGACCGGATGGCGCCGGATGGGGCACAGATCTGCAAAGGTTCTGGCATTTGGAAGAGCTGGCGGGGATGTAGAGAACCTCAAGAGCCAAGGTCACAAGCTTGTTCGAAGGGTGTTTTTATGTTTTTGTTAACGTCGATGGAGCTTCCTGGATTTAAGACTGTACTATCATTTAATTGCATGATTGCATATAGGTCCCGTTCATGGCGTACCACTTGTTTGCAAACCGTGGTTTGAGATGTCTTTTTACGGGAATGTAGAGCACTTTTTCGGGCCAGACACATGCATTTGGCGCTCAGCCTGTCAGAGTTGCAAAACGAAATCAATCCTTACACAAGAAGACTGACATGGACCCTGAAAACCATTTGTGGCCATTGTCAGGGTCTATGTTAGTTTTCGGGAGTGTATCCTCCCCGCTGCGAGGACATTCTTTTCAAGTCCATCTTCCCTTCCTCGTTTGTGACCGCAGTGCGGACCGGGCTGAGGCAGAGACTGGCGACCGCTTCATGAACGAAGCCTGACTGCAGATCCGGCTTGACCGGAGGCAGAACAGGTCAAAGGTTAATATATCCCGTGTTCTAGGGTATCAACCAACCAATAGTGGGCTTCAATCTGAGCAATAGCTGCGTCTCCCGGACGCTGGTGCAAGTCAGCAACCACCCGGACACTCCGCGGCATGTGTTGGGAGCAGCTGTCCATGAATGGCTGTTGGGAGCAGCTGCCCAGATCCCCAAATTAAGGTAGATTGACCTTCTGTAGGTCGTCCATTTTGTTCATTGTCTCTGGTCAACCCAGGATCCGCCCAGTTTTGCCCCCCACACCTTTGACCTGAAAAACCACCCGACCTGTCGACCCATGACCTTTCACTTAAAGACCGACCCGTAAAACAACGCACACCGTGCGATGTTTTGGCAGGTCGAAGGGATCGAGGGAGAGAGAAACTTGCATGTTTTTGGGTGGGGGGCTGGTTGAAAGTTCGGGCTGTTCGAGCCAAATCATGTTGTTTCGGGGACGGTGGAGGCAATGCTCGTGGCGTGGCCATGGCGTTCCCAGGAAACTTCTTTGTCGCTCTTCCCGGCGGTTTGTGTGAAAGTCGACGGTCCGTCTCTGACCTTGGCATCGCTGGATCGTGAGGCGGATGTTCGCGGTGAAACACATGCGCGTGCCGCGACAAGCGACGTTGGTGAATTTCGAGTGAAACGCCTGCCAGCGAGGTGACAGTGTTTGCTTTCTTTTCTGGTGATGTTTTAGGATGTCGGTGATTGGTGGGGGGCAGTTTTTACCTTCGAAACAAAGTTTTGCGGTGCATCATATCCTTTTAGGGAAGGGAGTGAAGTGAGGCCTCTCTTGATGAATAGGCCCCTTCTATAGATGGATGTTGTCAGGTGATATCTTGAGTTCCTTTGGGGATTTCATCAAGATCCGATATCAGTTCCAGTATGAACCAATTAGGCACGAAAAGGATGCACATGCATCAATAGAAAAAGAGGTGAATCCAGTTGCTCAAATAGGTTTGATTGAAGATCGCCTGGGTTGGTGTTTTTTTTTCTTTTCTCCAGGAGATCTTTTCACTTGGAGTGTCTTAATTGATGAATTAGAATCTGTAGAAGAAAACCGGCCAATGTGTGAATGGAGGAGTTTCTAGACGTGTTCTTTGACTCGCTGCCATGGCATTGTGGACGGCTACATTCTTGAATGCTAGGCTTTTCGAGTGCTACTTATGTACAATCATGGACTGACACAAAGGCTTCTCTTGATCATCATGCTTTCGGGGTCGTGGGTCAGTGCGGCTCAATACCTGGTCCCGTGGTCTCTCCATAATGATAATCCGTTGGACTACCAGATAATTTAGGTCCTGGTTCAGGTCATTTTGCTGGAGGATCCAGGTTTTCTCGTTTCCAAGTTCGCCCTCCAACTTCCTTTGATCCTTGGAGCACCAGTGGGAAGATTTACATAGGTGTGTAAACATAGGGGGCCTCCCAAACACCTCCTAAAAGAAGGAAACATGACACACATTGTTGGGTCTCAATACACACCAGGACTCAGGACCCATCCCGCGGAACCTTGAGCTCGACTTCATCACCCCTGGGTGTCGATTAAGGCGATAGACCGACATACAGCGATCCGAAGTCTTGTCCCCGTTTGGCCTCCCGTACCGAACCGGTTCGGTGGGACTGGGGCGGGTGCCCGGGTGGTCGGGTCCAGTCATACCGCACCTCAGGTTCGACTGGAGGCCTAGGGGTCGTGTCATACCAATTCGCAGGTCTTTGGGATCCCAACCCCCAAATTAAATCCGACCCTCTCGAGGTACGATTCACGCGGAGACTCTGAGACATGTGACGGGCCCAGTCGAACCTGAGGTTCGGTACCACTGAGAAATACCCGGACCGGACCTGCTTTCATTTGCGACATCGCTTCGATCACGACCTCCGCTTGGAATCGCTTCATTTGCGCGGCTTCCTTCGATGCTCGGAGCTTCCGTCGCCGAACAGACGCTCCAGCGCGCCACGCGGCACTTCTACGCAAACGGCTTGGACTTGCCCAGCTTTGGACGGGTCTATGCTGAGGCGCAGCAGACAGCGGGGATTTTTCCCTGCCTTCTGAGGAATCTGAGATAGGAGGGCTATACGGAGGGTATTGAAGCTCGATGGAATGGATTCGGTCCGCACACCGCTCATGCCTTGGCGCTTTGCCCCTTCATTAGACTCCACATTTCAAGAGAGTTGTGGATAGCTGTGGTAGGTGCACAAAGGCCATCGTCCTTTTGCAGAAAGCATTTTACTTGTATCTGTGCTACCGGTCTACCAATTAAGCTATATCTCCAAAAGAACGGCCAACAGGTACGGGAGAACCCTCTTTCTTTCGTTTTCATTGAGTGGAATCCTTTGCGATTCCTTTGGGCGTTTCAGATTGCTTGGCGTCACTGTCCTACCCCAGAAACACACAGTGGCAGGGTGAGCGTGTTCACCTTCGCGGCACCTGCGGTTTGTGGCCATTCATATTTCTGAGACGCCAGGAGTAAGCATCAACATTCATCAACCACCTTCACTGAAACACAGGTTCGCTCTAGGCAGCCCATGCGGCATAGGCCATTCAAGGAGACGTTTTGCGCCTAGGCAGCTCATCAACCACCTTCACTGAAACGGTTCTTCGCCCTAGGCAGCTCATGCGGAAGATGTGTTCGTTCGGAGACAAAGCCTTGGCGCTCCTGGAGACGAACCAAACGAAGAGCTCTCTACGGGGGTCCAACGGGGACGTGGTCTTTAGGGGTCGTCCATTCCAGATTCGTGACCCTTTTTGGCTGCTCTAGGTTGTCTGGTGCTTTGCGGTGTACATGTTCCTACAACCCGTTTGACCCCTGTTTTGATGGGAAAAGACATGAACATATCATTTTCGGGGGTGGTGGCTGGTCCAGAGGTCATTCAGGTCCCTCAGGCTTTCCTGTTGGTCCGCACGCGTGCCGCGTGCAGGCGCAGACCAGTGGGGGGTCCCCAGCTTCCAGGTGTCAAGCTCCCGGCGGTGTCTGGACCCCCTCCTGCACGGTGTGGGACGTCCCAATGTTACTCCCCCATACACTAACATAGAACCTGAGAATGGACCCGTGGAAGACTATTTTCCTCTACAACCCAGTAGTTTGGGGGTTCCATGTGGTCCTTTGCACATTCCCATTCTCAGAAGGTACTTGGACCATCTTGGACCCTCTTGGCACCTACATAACAGTGTTTCCAACCACCTTCTGACAAGGTTACGACTGGATCCCTATAGGGATTCCACGGGACTGCAATATAATATGCCATACAATGCCATCCATTGGCCCCTGAAACCAGCCCCATGCCCGGACCATCCCGACCTGATTCAATTACGCCCTGGTCCCAGGAAAATTGGTTCAACCAGCTTTTGCGATAGTCATTGCGCAAACCTGATTTCGGGCACCGTACCTCCGACGTGTGTACGGTCGTACCATCGGTCGTACCAGCAGTTTCATGTTGGGGTGCTTAATGGAGGTTAAGGGTGCCCATGATCCACGGACCCCAACAAAAACTCCTTTGGAACTGGGAATTACTCTCCCTGGAACTAACATGGAAGTGGATGGCACCACCTGTTTGTAATGGAACATGACCTTCCAAGGGGCCGTTCTCCACCTCCATGTTAGTTCTAGGGAGTGTACAGTGTACCTGTTTCTTCTTTGGATCATCTCATATTTTCCAAGGCACGACCCGGTTCCTTCGGTCCAGCTGTCCGGCCGACCAGCTACACACCCCGTCACCGTCCACCGTCCAAGGCCGTTTTGCTGCTCCGTCGGGCGGCCCAGCAAACCGGCTCACGGAAACGGCGGTCGGGGTCGCAGGGTCTCGTGAAACGACCTGCGCGGATGGTGTTCAATTCGAGGTCGACCTGGTTTTGCTTTAAAGGGTGGAGGTTTGAATTGTCCCGATGGTTGTTGGTCGGGTTGGTCGGGAAAATCTCTCCATGGGGAAGGTTGTTTGAGCCAATTCGAAGACGTGTTTCATCCTGGCTCCACGATCCTGCCGGGCTGGATGGACAGCCCAAGCAAAGGAAGGAAAAGCCGAGCGTTCCTTTTGTGGGCTGGAGCGTTCCTCAAAAAGGGGAGGCCCTGCTGTGGAATATTTGGGTTGTGTTTGACGTGTCTCTCGCATCACACCCTACAAACTGGATAAATTGGCCATGCCACGTGAGTTCACATGACTGCCGTTCGCTTGATACCATGGCCCACTGTTGAATTTTTGTTCGATTGGAGCCGGGCAGTATGATGGCTTCTCGTGCTCATTGGATACGCAGACGCTTCTCCATCTCACTTGTGGTGGTCTCTGAACTTCTCGTTCTCAAACTCATCCTTGATCATGCCCACTCTGCGACTACCAGTTGCCTGAAGTTGGCTGACAGGATCATGGCTCCTGTGGTTTTCACAAGCCTTCAGGTGGCATATCATGTGATTCTTGAATGAGAAACTTTCTGATCGACATGAACTTCCCAAAAGCAAGGGGCTTTGCTTTTCACCTCTCTCACACCGTCGCTCCTCTCACCTGCTCACCTTTTGTTTCACCTGAGGTCTTCCCATCCTCAGTTTCTGTTGTTTCTTCTTTCGTGTGACCCTGGGCCTGACCCAAATACGGGCTTTGAGGGGAAAAATGCATGCTCATTATGCGTGTGCTTTTCATAAGAAGAACGAAGCGGGCTGGCTTGGGTCCGAACATGAAAAATGCCCTACACACCACAGAGCATCCGCTGCAGGTGTTTTCTCGCTCGTTTGAGTAGCTGAGCAAAGTTTCAGTTGCAAAAGTCTAGATCTCAACTGGCAGAAGGCAGCAGTTCCTGAGGAGTGTGGCAAGGATTTTGAAAGGAATCAGTGCGGCACTGTTTTATTTTAATTAACTTGAATGTATGCTAATCATACAATTGCCCCTGCGGTAAAACATGTTAAAAAATTGTTTAGCTTGTGGTGCTATTTGTGCCCACTAGGCAGAAAAGAGCAGGAAACACAAGGTGCCTTGACCAACAGCTGTGACAGGCATGATGTTGTGCCGCATAATATATTGGACTGCCAGCATGGGAATGGGATGGAATGGGTGTGTGATTTATGAAGTCCCCCATTGTGCCCATACACGGCTCTTTTTCGAGCTGGCAGATGGCAGGAAACAAATCTCAATGCTTTCCCTGGTTGCAAGTTCTATCACAATGCTTTTGTTCCATGAACATTCCCCTTCTCAAGTTTTTTCACTCACATTTGTCCACGCGGATTCACCACAAAAATGCCAAACAGTTTCAACTGTCCTCCCTGACCCTCATGTGCTGACGGCGCTATGCGAGCGTGGCTGGCTCTCGTGTGGCTTGCGACCGCCCGCGCGCAGCTGACCAACCTAGCGTTGGGACGGGTGCCTTGGCACGGCGAACGTGGTCCACTGTGAAAAAAAGGAAACAACAAGGATATTGCGACCTGGTTTTGTGTAGCTGGTTTGTTTGGTGGATTTTTTTCGTTGGTTTGTTGGGTTGGTTTGTTGTTAAGGTTTTAGAGTGTTTTGTTGCTGGTGCGGGGTTGGTGGTCAGAGTACGTTTAACTGAGGAGGTGTGAGGGTTCCATAATAATATAGTGTATACAAAGATCACGTACTGAACGGATCCACCCAAAACATCTCCAGTTTGCTCTTAGGAACAGTCTTTTCGGAGCAAACATGATGCATGGAATAAACGTTTCACCGTTTTTATACACTCTACTATTGGCAGTGTTTTCTAGATCGTAACGTTCCCTACCAACGTTTCATGCCCCTGCCCAGCTCTTCCCGGTTCTATTTTGGTCCTCAAATGTGAATGTAACAGGCTTTGGCATTCTGAACCAACCAGAACCTTCAGTTCGTGACCTTTTTGGAGTTTTATAAGTGACCTTCTACAGGCCTAAGTGACCTCATCCTGTGATCTCAAAAGGTCACTTTGAAGGTCCTGGATTTGTTCATCCCTACCAAGGGATCACTACGACTTGAAGAGAGATCACCCGAAAGAATTAGACTTCAATATGCAGTGCATGAGACCAGATGCTTTAGACCCCCATGTGACAAGTCTTCAACGTCCGACCTGTTGAAAACAAGCATCAATGTACACACTGCATATAGAAGTGGAACCTGTCGAACAACATCTCACTGCTTCAACACTACGTTGCTGCTTCAGCATTTGACCTGACAGACGAAAAACATGTAGACCGAATCGAATCTCTGGATACCCCTGTGGCACTCAGGGCTCCGACTGGTTGGGAATTGAGAAGAGCCAGGAGTCTCATTTTGATACCTTTCGTTTTGGTAGGACTGGTGGTGTATTCAGTCCATGTCGCTTCGGTGGTGTGGTGGGCGAGCGAGCGTTTGGGGTTCGCCCTACCAGCGGCCCGAAAAAACCTACGCAAAAATCCGTGGTTTTCAGGTCGGGAAAAGCCTGGGTTTTGATGGTTTCCAGGACCCTAGTAACAGGGTTCGTGTTCGGCCTGTGCCTCTGCCCCAACCTCGCTGGTGGAACGTTCGTTCTCCGAACAGGTGCCCTTTGGCTCCGCAGAGAGCTATGCACAGGGCTTCGAAAAGGCGGATCGGGCCCGCGCGGGGCGTCGATCACATGGAGGAGAGAGATATGGCGCTGGGGATCCACTGCCACCCTCTTTTCGGTACGGTGATGCGTTCGACACTGTTATGTAGGTGCCAGGAAGCGTCAGGTCCAGCTACCGAACATGAGGTTCGGTACAACTGGATCTTAATCGACTGGGTTGTAGAATGGTACACTTCCTGAAAGAAACGGAAGTGGAACGAAAAGGTGAAAACCACCTGATTTGGATCTGTTTGGGGTCTCAGAATCATGCTTGGTCTTCGGGCCGTGGCATCCACCTTGCACCGGGTCGTCCTGCCAGGGTCCTAAAACCTGAAGATCCTCGCTCTATAGCTTGTTCTTCAGCATCCATATTCAGACACTCCATGTATGTCAATATTGACCTTGGGCCATTAGGGTGAGGGTAAATCTGCCAGTCCCATGGAGTGTCTGGGTAAGTCATTCTGGTGAAGCTTAGGTTGACCTGGAGTGCCAGTCCCATGGAGTGTCTGGTCCCAAAAA